ATCGTTGAAAGATAGATAAAAGCTATAGAATACTAAAGCGACTTTATTAATATGAACAATAATAAACAAAGAATAGACATTTATGAGAACAGAAAAGAACATTCAAGAAACGAAGTTATCTGGGACCCAATAAAACTCTTACAATTAATGCTGAAGTCCAAACTGTCGAAACGTTAACGAAATCAATCGATGAAAAATAGAATACTAAAAGGATTTTATTTATATCAACAATAATGAAATAAGTATTTGTGTTTTAATCTGTGTTTTTCTATGATTTATATTTTTAGGATTTATTCATGAGTTTTATTATGGGGCCTTATTCAGCTGAAGTTCTCATTCGTTTACGCCTGGTTTCTTAGGCAGTGCGATGAAAATATATCTGCGTAGGTATATCCCCACTCTTGTAGATTTTAATTATTATTTCTGTGATCTTGTCTATGCGTTAGTTGTCTAAAGCCGCCAGCATTTCTATTGCAATTCCGTCTGGTCCAGTCGATTTGTTTCTGTTCAATTTCGCCAGTGTATCTTCCATTTCAGATTTTAATATTTCCGGTCCATCAGTATTAGTGTATTGCTAGTTGTTCTTTTTCGTCGTTGAAGAGTTCTCCAATACATTCCTTCCAACGCTGAAGTCTTGTGTCTTTCTCCAATATCAGCGTTCTCTGGATTTTACGCTGCCTGTTGATGTGCATGTCTTTTGTCGTGTTAGTTCTCTTATTTTCTATATATCTCTCCTTTTTATCAATGATAGTCTTTTTTTTTTTATTTCTGCGTATTTTTCGTTGAGTCATTCCTCTTTAGACTGCTTGCATTTGTTGTTTATTTCTTTGTGTAGTTTTTCTGCATTTCGTTCCTTCTGTTGGCATTGTTTTCTGTCATCTTTGCATCATGTCGAGGTTGTCATTTTGTGATCCATCCTTTTTCTATTTCTTCTTCATTTATTTTTGTTGTGGGGCTCTCCCCTTTTTACATAAGATGGACTCGTCCAAAGTATACTTATACTAACAGAGAGAATACCTGCTGTTGAGATACGTCGAGATAACCGGCAGAGAGGAACCCGGACGAAGTTTTGCCGAAGGGCAAGGTTTCGTCCAGGGAGGTAGACAGGCCCTGAATCAGTCTAGGCGGGTTCGAAGGGTATATTTTTGGCCGAGCCTACGGGCTCGGAGAAACCCACTTTAATCTCGGCCTCGTGCCACATATATTCCTCGTGGGTGGGATATTAAATACAGAGATACGTCGAGATACAGTCTCTGACTGTGTGCGACGTCTGTCGAACTCTCTTCTTTGGCAGAGGGGAACTCGGACGAGGCTTTGCCGAAGGGCAAAGTTTCGTCCGGGAAGGTAGACAGTTACCGAACCCGCTTATGCGGATTCAAAGGGGATATTTTTTGGCTGAGCCTACGGGCTCGGAGAAACCCACGTTAAACTCGGCTTTATGACACATACATTCCTTGTGGGTGGACTGTTAAATATCGAGATACGTTGAGATACGTTGAGACAGGTTGAGAGATACGGAGACAGACACAGGGTGTTCTCAGAGAGTTATACAAGAGTCCAGTGAGAGAGATGATTACGGCTTTACTTACAGAGACTTGTACATATACTTTATACTAACCCGCATTCCTGGACTACTAATCTTCACTTCAAGTCTATATCCTTACGTTTAATACACTTATTTTTCTATCTCAATTACTGGCGTTGTTTATTTATTTGTGCAGGATTCCATCCCCGGAATCCACAACAATTTTCTTTTGGAATGATCTCGTAAAGACCCAAATTACAAAGGATCGACACTGTTTACGAATGTACATACTTCATAAGGAACTGCGCTCCTGATCAAATTCATAAATAATTATATTGGACATACCACGACATATCTATCAAAAAGAGGAGTAATTACTCTGAACATAGCTCAATTAGGACGCATTTAAACGTACACGGAAACCTACTAAACTCCGTCCGCAATATGCCCACAGATAATAAAACTGGAATAGCTTCGTCCACAAGAAAATAGTCTAAAAAAATGGAAGTATTAATAATAATAATAGTAACAACAGCAGTCAATAATATCATCTAGGAACACGGCCACAATATCTGACCTTGTTTGGCAAATAGAAAAAATTCTCATCACTGTAGATAAAGATGTATAAAAAAAATCTACATATTCAGTTAAAAGTAAAAAAAAAGACAAAAAAACGCTCAGATATGTAGAACATTTAGCTTTTTTTTTACATATTTTATATCCAAAAAGAAAATGCTAATAAGAAAACAACAATTAAATTAACAGCTTAATCGCAGTACTTTGACAGTTGTCTTTAAGGAAACTTATATATAAAAAAAAAGATTGCTACTCAAATACACAATTATATATATATATATATATTTGTGGAGTACGGTGGCCGTTATTGATTAAGCATAACTCAAGACTTCAATGTTAAAATAAAACAATATTTAATTACAACCGCAAATAAATACTTAACAAGAACATAGAAATAAAAGTCAACCAAAGATAATTAACCATTTCAGTGAATACCTTGTTAGTCGCGCGGTTCGGCTTAACATCCGGTAAATCCTAAATCAAAACCCAAATCATCGACGCACAGTAATTCACACTAATTCGACTGGATAGTTCCACTCAATAGTCGCTGAATAATCACCGCAGTCAGTAGCCTGACACCGCTATTTATAAACCTATGTTTATAAATAAAACATATGTTCACAAGTCCTGAGTGTCATGCTCGGTGCCTCGGTGACAGTAGTTACTCATTTTCTTTCTTTCTCT